GTGAAAGTGAAGTGAATGTGAAGTGAATGTGAAGTGAAGTTACAGAATAGCACCCCTGAACAGTTGCTATCTGATTGTCAGCAGACCTTCTTATATTCTCAGTTGCAGCAAGTCTTTTTATAGTGCCACCTACACCATCACATGGTGACTTTCCATTACCAGATCCAAAAAGTGACCAGGATGTGGCAACGCCAAATTTTTTTTCGTGTTTACACACGAAAGACAGCATGGTACAATTTTTATACTGTCTGGTGCATCCATCGCTAAAATATTCAACTTTTGTCACGTCGAAAATATTTTCCTTTATGTAAGTGATCACCTTAAAAAGAATCGTTTGCACAGCAGAGGTATCATGTTTAAGATCAACTGAAATTATACAAAGAGACTTGTGTTTAAGTTCTTCATTTTTTTATAATAAAATACTACACAGGTGTCTGGAAGGAAGAAAAAGTTTGCCTACGATGCCAAAACAATTCATTGTTACCCTCTGGTTCCTTAGCACCCTCTGAAAAGAGAAAACTTAACCCGAAAACTGTAGCTGTTCATTTATGGAAAAATCACCCTTTTATAGGGCTGATTTGGAATTTTTTTCAGAAAAAATTGTTTTTAAGGAGCAAAAATAATTTTTAAATTATTTTGATAATTGTTATTTATGTGTGTGTTTACAGGGTTTAATTTTTTAGATACAATCGATTAAAAAGTTTTTTAATAACAAAGTTTAACTTTTCTTTTATTTAATAAGAGTAGAGATGATTCTATCACTCAGTCGTATTTTAATAAATAGACTGATCCTTGACTCGGAGTGATCGTTAATTTTCACTATTTATTAAAATACAACTGAGTGATAGAATCATCTCTAATCTTATTAATTTTTTTAAATTTGGACGTTTTAAAACAAATTTTTAAAAAACAGCTGGCAATGATAAGAATAGTTTGCAAAATGTTTCAAAGTGTTCTTCTTGAGTTTGATGTGTTAAAATAAATTTTTAATTTTGTCGTGCAAGTTTTTTGCGCGCTGCACTGTGCACGTTTTTTGAAAAAATTAAAATTTTTTAAAATCCATACGATTAATTATTTATTATCGTAAGAAAAGCATACATAAAATTTGGCAACGAAAAATATTAAAAAATTTTGAATTAGTTGAATTTTTTAAAAACTACTAGTAAAATTTGAGCCATTCAAAAATTATCATTTTTAGGGGAATCAAAATTTTGTTGACATTTTTTCAGTACCTGAAATCATATTACACTATAGAAGATAATTAAAAGTAATTTTTAAGTGATTTACAACTTTTATTTATTTTTCAAAAAATTTGATTTAAAAAAAATAAAAAATTTTTGAAAAATAAAATTTTTTTGAAAAATACAAAATTTTTTTAAAATCTATATGATTGATTGTTATAATAAGTATATGTAAAAATTAGCAATGAAAGTTATTAAAAATTACGAGAGTAGTTCAAATTTTTATTTTTTGAAAATTTTGCACAGTGCAGCGTGCGTAAAACTTGCACTGTGCAGCGCGCATAAAACTTGCACGACAAAATTAAAAATTTATTTTAACACATCAAATTCAAGAAGCACACTTTGAAACATTTTGCAAACTATTCTTATCATTGCCAGCTATGTTATTTTTAAATTTTTTTTAAAACGTCCAAATTTTAAAAAAATTAATTTGCTTATATAATTTTTTATTTTTTTAAGAAAAATTTTAAAAAAATTTGTTTTGTAACAGCATTTAAAAGTTGAAGAATAACTGAACCTTTTTTGTCTCAACGAAATTTTTGTAAGACCAATAATTTTCAAGTTGTAGACCATTGAAAAAGGTCTACTTTTCAAAAATCAAATTTTCAAAATTTAAAATGTGAACTGAAATCTGACGTGAAATTGCCCACATATATATGTAAATAGATGTTATCAAAAATCGTTAACTAAATAAAAGAAAAGTTAAAAATTTGAATTTTTTGTTTTTAAAAAACTTTTTAATCAATTGTATCTAGAAAATTAAACCCTGTGAACACACACATAAATAACAATTATCAAAATAATTCAAAAATTATTTTTGCTCCTTAAAAACAATTTTTTCTGAAAAAATTCCAAATCACCCCTATAAAGGGGTGATTTTTCCATAAATGAACAGCTACGATTTTCGGGTTAAGTTTTCTCTTTTCAGAGGGTGCTAAGGAACCAGAGGGTAACAATGAATTGTTTTGGCATCGTAGGCAAACTTTTTTTTCCTTCCAGACACCTGTGACTACTGGATGAATCGTGCAATATTTTCTGGTCCAGTTAGCACTTTGAATTTCATCTTGAAAATTGAAAGAAAAGTTCTCACTAAAATCTACTAGGATAAGTGCTTCAGTTTCCATTAATGACTTTTTTCGATCTGATAGATATTGCGATTGCTGTTTCGAAATAGTCATGTTGAAATACATTATTAATATTTTCAAATATTAATTGAAATATTTCATAACGCGAAGCAGTTTTTGTTTCCAGTTCGGAACGATCTTGAGTAGTCCACTGTTTGAACTCAACTTTTTCCATTTTCCAATCTTCAAAAATTTCTTCCACATCAAAGTCTTCTTCAAATTCGTCTTCTTTTATCAATAATTCGAACATCTTTCTTTGTACGTACTCTTTTCCTGTACATTCTTTGCAGAGCCTCATTAAGCAATTTCGATTATTTTTATCACACGTTATTGCATTTATAACATCTCTACATTTGTTGTTACGATTAAAAATCCATAGAAGCAAAAAAAAATTTGGTTGAGTTTGGCAAACACACACGCTGTGAGTACCAGTAGCACCAGCGATAACACATTCAGGAGGACGCAAAGAACAAAATTTTGAAAATGCATTGATGAGGTCACCTATTCTTTTTTTCCATAAGTTTTCCGTTTTTGTTGATTATTGACTGGAATTTCAATCCGTTCCAAACCAATTTGTGAGTATACAGAATTCAATATCTCGTGTGCTTTTTCTTCCGGAAAAAAAATTAAAACTAAAAATTGAATCCTGTGACAACGCTTGTAACAAGGACGAACCGGAATCTGATACTTGTGATTCGTTAGATGTCGCTATATTTTTACTAATCTGCAACATTAATAATAGACAAAAGATGAATAACTAGTATTGTTAATATTAGAATTTTTCACTGATTGAGAATTATAATTATGAAAGATGATTTCGATTTTATCAGCCATAGAGTTTAATTTAAATTTAATAATACACACAGAGAAATAGTATATTTGTCTTAGAACCAACTAGACTTTTTATTTATTTCAAATAAATTTTATTTGGTTTAAATAAAATTTTATTTCGCTCAAATATGAGGCATTATTCCTGAACTGCCCCAAAAATAAAAAAAAGTTGCAATAGAGGGCGTGTATGTAAATCAACCAACAAACAAATTAATTTTAAGATATTAATCATCTAATCAAACATTATTTTGGTTCTAATTTAAATTACGTAAAATACGTAATCCACACATAAAAATGCAAACTTATGTAATTTACATTTTAAATATGGCTTCCCATAATAGACTGAAAACGGCAACATAACCACTTTCAATGTTTACTTTTTGGACTGGTGAAAGCAACCAAGTATTGTAAAAAGTAATTTAAAACCATATGAAAAATCGTGTAATTTTCTTAAAGTACGTAATTATAAGTATAAATTGTTTTAGTGATCAATTTATTATTTACCCAGTGGGCACAGGGACGTCTAAAAGACGTCTTAACCCTTTGAAGCACAGCCGGACACCAGTGTCCCACTTAAGTCGTTCGGATTTTTTTATTATTTTTTAACATCAATCTATAGGAAAGAAACTATTTTTACAACTTAGTATCCTGATACATTAATAAACATAAAAAATTTCAAAATTTTGAAATTGGAACAATAATTTGTTGTTAACAAAAATTAGAAAAACAAAAATACCAGATAAGGTTAAAAAATTAAAAATATTTAAAAAAATAATTTGGATTCGCTCCCAACTTGTTACTCGGGGGTTTTTGAGGTCGCTGATTACGAATCTGAAGTCAGTTTTTCAAAATCCAAAATGGCGGATCCAATATGGTGGACGATTTTTTCAAAATTGTTTTAATTCGCTTCAAAATTGTTACTCGGGGGTTTTTGGGGTCACTGATTACAAATCCGATATTATTTTTTCAAAATTCAAAATGTCGGATCCAATATGGCGGACGATTTTTAAAAAAATTGTTTTAATTCGCTTCAAGCTCGTTACTTGGGGGTTTTTGGGGTCATTAATTACGAATCTGATGTTATTTTTCCAAAATTCAAAATGGCGGATCCAATATGGCGGACAATTTTTTCAAAATTGTTCAATTTTGCATGATACTAAATCTGGCATAAATGTTTTTTTAATTTTAACAAATAAAATGTATAATTATTCAAAAAAAACGTTTTAAAAAAATTATTCGAAAAACAGTTTAGTTTGATAGTTTTATAGAGTTTATTGTCTTTTTGATGAATCAATTTTATAAGTAAAAACTGAAAAAAAAATTATATTTTGCTGCTGTAGCGCTTTATAATTTACTTACCGCACTCTGCCGAACCCAGAGACACGATCGAGGACGTGGCGGTTGTTGCCTCCATTTTTGTTTATTTTTTTGTCTTTTTTTGTTCATTTTATAAATTTTTTTCTTTTTTTCTTTTTTTTTATTTTTTTTGTTGTTCTTTTATATTTTTATATTTTTTTTGTTTTTTCTTTTTGAATGAATTTTGTCTTCTGAATTAAAATTTAGGAATTTTCATTTAAATTAAATAAAATAAATTAATAAATTATTGAATTGCATTATTATTTAAAATGATGCATTTTATTTTGATGTTTTAGTAATGTTCCAATTACTTTTGGCTTACTTATTTTGTATGGAAGGTATAAAAGCAGTTCCTTTCAACGTTTACACACAAAGGTACTTCGCACGTACCACAAGACCAAGAAGTGCGTGTGTCTTTTTCTTTAGTGCTACAGAAAACACATCTGCGTCAATTTGGTAGAATTGTTGGCAAATGTGGAGCTGGACAAAATCGTTTTGCATCAGAAATGTGAGCTTTATGCCCTGTAAAAGTAGATGGAAGCGACTTTCTACCCTTCTTGGTAGCTATGTTTGAACCAATCAATCCATCGACGACTTCCAATCTAAACTTTTTTAGTGTCATTGTTGACCCATTTTTGGCTTGATACAAAATAAATGCATTTGTGACAGAAACATCTAAGAAATGCCAAAATATTCTAAGCCACCATCTTTTAGATTTTCTGTCAATTTCGTATAAAGATTTAAGCATGTCTGCTTTGTCCACATAACCCATGTGCTTGTTATAATCTGCTATCATTTTTGGACTTCGAATCGTGCTTATACTGCCATCTTTATTTCTTCTGTTAACGTCTGAAATTTCTGTAGTATCATGAAAGTTCGATAAACAATATACTGCTCTATTGTCCATCCATTTCACCCAACTTACACCACTGGAGCATGAACGAAATTCAATGTCTCCTCTTTTCATCTTGTTATCAGGCAGATAGTATTTTGGTAATCCTTTACGATTTTTTCTCACAGTTCCACAGGCTATCACATTGTCATTTTTCAGTGAAACCATCAATTTCTGACTGGTGAAAAAGTTATCAAAATACACCCGATGAAAATTACCAACAAGATCTCTAGTTAAATCTATCACGACTCGTTTTCCAAGGTTATCCTCCTTATTTCTTTTCTCCTTACCAGTATACATTTGAAACTGCGATACAAAACCAGTCTCATCGGCTCGAACCCAAATTTTGTATCCTCTCTTGATTGGCTTGTTTGGCATATACTGTTTCATAGAGCTACGTCCTTTAAATTTGACCATACTTTCGTCAACAGATTGATTTTCTTTTGGCTTCCAACAATCATGAAAAGTTGTTGACAATGTGTCCAAAAGTGGCCTTATTTTAAACAATTTATCATAAGAAGGGTGGTTTCTATTTGGCTCTTTAGTGTTGTCATTTAGGTGTAAATTTTGCAGTAAAAAACCGAATCTGTTTACAGTCATGGCAGAGGAAATGTATGGATCTTTTAGTTGGTTATTCAAAGACCAATAGTCTCGGTAGGATGGAAGCTTCTTTATGCCCATCAAAAGATTTATCCCCAAGAAGATACGTATTTCTTCATTTGTAACAGGTTCAATTTTCTTTTTTTTTCTATTAGTAGATAAAGCATACTTTTGATTAACATAAAGATTTGTTTGGTTAACAAGAAGATCCACTAATTCGGGTGGAAAAATACAGAAAAATATCTCTAAAGGTGATACAGCCCTGTCTGGAATATTTGGACCACTATTTTTTGTGAATGGAATATTAATACCTGGACACCCTCGATTTTTCCAACTGCCATCGTCGTTGTTATCGATTTCTTCGTCATCGGTAACATTTTCATTGTCAATATAATTTTCAATATTCATTTGACTCGTATTGGTAATATTGACCTCATCTATCAAATCATCTTCTCCAGTATCGGAATCAACAAGACCATCGATTGACTCACTATCACTCGGTATTTCAGTTTCTAGTAAATCCATCTTTCCTCAGACTTTTAAACCATACAGAGATTGTATAATAAATCCAAAATGTAAACTTTCGCCTTTAAAATTAAATCAAACGTATGCGAAAAAATGTGACTCAAAATGCTTTGGTACAGAAATGCTGAGACTGATGATCATATATCATATCATCTTTATAAAAAAGTTATCCTTTTCGCGAAAATATTCTAATCATAAGTTGTAGAACAGATCCAAATATATAATAGTTTATTATAAATGATTCATTTGTTTCATATTCATTCGTTACACTTTTATTTTTTCACATTCATTTGTTTCACAATCACTTTTTGCCACATTCATTTGTTTTACTGTCATTTGTTTCACCTTCGTTTGTTTTATATTCGTTTGTTTAATTGATAAAACAAATGATTATGGTAATCGTTGGTCTTGATGATTTTGATAATGTTTCGATTATAATCTGATTAATAATACGTTTATGTTGTGCACGGATAATAATAAAATCTGTAAAAAAATAGTACATTAAGCAACAAGCAGACAAAGGCAGCTATTTCTTTACGGTGAGTTTTGTGACACTCGTGATACATAAATCATCGTAAAGTAATTATGCTGGCCTTCGTTTCCGTGTTACTTATGATACTTTTTATACCAAATGTATAAAAGTGTCGATTTCAGAAAGCAGACGACAGGGAGTAAAAGTCATTCAATTGTTCGACTCGTATGGAAATGGAGTTCATTTTTTTCTAGGACAAAAGTAACGCATGGGAACAGCTGTTTTTATTTACCTAGGGAAAAATTAAACGACATTTTCATGCGGTCGAACAAATGAATGACTTTCCGTCCTATCGTCAGCTATCTAAAAGCACCAATTTTGTGCATGTGGGACGAAAATATCTATACTTTAATCAGAAATAAATAACGACGTTAAAGCAAATTTAAACAATTTTTCAAAAAATCGCCAGCCATATTCAGCCCGCCATTTCCAGTTTTAAAAAAATTACATCACATTCGTAATCAATGACCCTAAAAACCCCCAAGTAAAGAATTGAAGCGAATCAAAACAATTTTGAAAAAATCGTCCGCCATATTGGATCTGACGTTTTGAATTTTAAAAAACTAACGTCAGATTCGTAATCACCGACCTCAAAAACCCCCGAGTAACGATTTTGAAGCGAATTAAAACAATTTTGAAAAAATCGTCCGCCATATAGGATCTGCCATTTTGAATTTTGAAAAACTAACGTCAGATTCGTAATCACCGACCTCAAAAACCCCCGAGTAACGATTTTGAAGTAAATTAACACAATTTTGGAAAAATCGTTCGCCATATTGGATCCGCCATTTTGAATTTTGGAAAACTAACATCAGATTCGTAATCACCGACCTCAAAAACCCCCGAGTAACGATTTTGAAGTAAATTAACACAATTTTGAAAAAATCGTCCGCCATATTGGATCCGCCATTTTGAATTTTGAAAAACTAACATCAGATTCGTAATCAGTGACCCCAAAAACCTTTATGTGTATTAGAATTAATTAACTGTTTTTGTGAGAAAAATTCATGCTTCAAAGGGTTAAAGACGTCCCTTTTTGTCCGCGGACGATTCGGGGACAATGATGGCAATGTCTCTGAGTCATCAAAAAGACAACTAAAAGACGTCTAAAAGACGTTCTATGTCTGGTCCAAAAGACGTCCAAAAGACATAAGAAAGGACGTCTAAAAGACGTCTTTTGGACGTCTAAAAGACCTAAAAGGATTTATAGGGATTTATAGTATTCCCATTTTATTAAGGAGTTCTTTTTTATGATAGTAAATATAAAAAAAGGAAAAAATTTTGTTTGAAGAAAAAAGCTACTTATTTGTTTAAAAATGAAAAGTTTGTTTATAACAAATGTAATTGTTTAAGCTAATAAATTTTTTATGTTTTTGAAAGAATGTACATATGATATAAATATTTAAAGTTTAAAAAATGACGAAAATGTTGACAAAGACAAAAGGAAGTTGATTATTGTTTATATAATTGTTAATATTAATGATAATTTTTAACTGTAAAATAGTTTTTTACTAAATTAGACATAAATTTAAACTTGTCTGCAAAAAAACCAATTTTTTTATGAAGAAGGTCCGAAGTAATCTATTTGTTAATTAACATTGTTTGCAGCAATTTAAATAAATTGTATTATGCTTTATTAATTGTCGGGTGGTCATACTAGACTAATTTAAATTGATTTCGATCATGTGTAATGGAAAAATAAAAAAACTAACATGATTTTTTCTCAAAATATTGTAATTTGTCAAATTTTTGAGTAACAAGAAAAAAATAAACAATTAAAAATTCAAAAATCGACTTTGATGGATCTCTTAGTAATTTTAAATCAAGAACATCAACATCCGATAAAATTTGTAGTTTCTAGACAATTTTCAATAGTAAGTTGAAAAAAAATCCCACTGTTCATCGCGCTGGAGTGCGCGAGCGGACGGACAAATTTTACTTATTACACTATATCTTTGGCAAATTGTTTCGGCCCATTTTCAGACTTATATCTTCTTTTAGGGGAATTCTCAAGCTTTCATTTGAGATTATTAAAAAGAAAATAAAAACTACCGAACTTGCACAAAATTGCAAAAAACTATTTATTTTAAAAAATTTTTGCAAAAAAAAATTTTTTTTTATTATATAAATAAAATATTTTAAAAGTACACAAAAAAACCTTTCTAAAACACTACTTACTTTTTTTAATTGAATAATTTAAGTAGAAACTACAAATGTTTAAAGAATGCATGTTCGAGTTGAAGCTGAAATTTCAACCCCCCACCCTTTTGATTGGGGTGGGGGGTTGGACCTGTAAATTAGTGTAGTAACTTGTACCTACTAGGGTAACATATTTCCAAAGTATAAAGGAAATCCAAGAACTTTTTTTTATTTTTGGGGCAGTTCAGGAATAATGCCTCATATATGTTTTATTTATGTCGAATTAAATTTTTATTTAAAACAAATAAAAATTCTAGTTGGTTCTGAGACAAATATATATTTATTTAATTCAAATAAAATATATTTGGTTTAAATAATATTTTTCTCTAGGTGTAGATGTCACTATTTGCTGATAAAGTCGAAATCTTCTTTCATAACAATTATTGTTACTACTGTGATTATTATTTTTATTATAATTGCAATTAAGTTATAACTAATATTTAAACGTACTAACCATGTAAATATTTGCCAATATTTCTTTCCTACAATTATCACAGAGTTTCCAACTGAGAGGAACGCTTCGAATTTGATCTTTAATTTTCATCGCAAAATTTAGGTCTACTGACCGAAGACCATTTTTAATTTTTGAGGAATGTTTATGAAAAGGATCTATGCAATTAACTGATTTCATTTCATACCAATAGAGAAATGTTTTGAAATGTTTTTCACATACTGTAGACGTAATTGCATTTACCCTATCCCATATGTTGCTTCTCCAACGCAACAATAGTAAGTTTTCTTCTGATAATTCTTTAAGCCAGGTTATTTTATCATCACAAGAAGTAGAATTATTTAATAATTTACTAATGCTACAATGTCCTATCGCATCTGTTATAAAAATACTCATTTTCTAGAATGCAAATTTTAAAAACTTTATATATCAGTGTTCATTATATTATGTAATAAAAGTTACCTTTTTGGGTCATATTGTACCCAGTGGGCACACTTGTTCAAAAGACGTCCTAAGGATGTCTTTTTGCGGACGTCTTTTGGACTTGTACAAAAAGACGTCTTTAAGACGTCTTAAAGACGTCCTATTCATGTTCTATGTCTTGGCCATTAGATGTCTTTAAAGTGTCTAAAAGACGTCTTTTTCATTCAACATTTGAAAATAGAAAAATTTTCATAAATAGAAAATATTATTTTCTAAGTTCAACTTGGACTTAGAAATTTTTGAATGTGAAATTTATTGGAATTTTTCTAAGTTAAATTCATTTCATTGACAAGTGAGATCGTTAACTTTGTAGAGGTTCATATCTGTCTTGAACGGCTGAGGTGCTTAAAGCGCAGTGTTTCAAGCCCAAGGTATCCGAGTTCGATCCCAGCTTCGTAGGAATTTTTTCATTATTTCTCCACATTTTAGAAAAAATAAAATTAAACTTAAAATAAATTTAATACAATATTACTGAATTTCAACTTAGAAAATGTTATAAAAGAAATGTTTATTTAAGATCTGAAGGAATGTAAAAAGGACGTCCAAAAGACGTCTTAAAGACGTCTTTTAGACGTCCCTTTTAGGTCTTTTAGACGTCCAAAAGACGTCTTTTAGACGTCCTTTCTTATGTCTTTTGGACGTCTTTTGGACCAGACATAGAACGTCTTTTAGACGTCTTTTAGTTGTCTTTTTGATGACTCAGAGACATTGCCATCATTGTCCCCGAATCGTCCGCGGACAAAAAGGGACGTCTTTAAGACGTCTTTTAGACGTCCCTGTGCCCACTGGGTAAATAATAAATTGATCACTAAAACAATTTATACTTATAATTACGTACTTTAAGAAAATTACACGATTTTTCATATGGTTTTAAATTACTTTTTACAATACTTGGTTGCTTTCACCAGTCCAAAAAGTAAACATTGAAAGTGGTTATGTTGCCGTTTTCAGTCTATTATGGGAAGCCATATTTAAAATGTAAATTACATAAGTTTGCATTTTTATGTGTGGATTACGTATTTTACGTAATTTAAATTAGAACCAAAATAATGTTTGATTAGATGATTAATATCTTAAAATTAATTTGTTTGTTGGTTGATTTACATACACGCCCTCTATTGCAACGGGAGTAAAAGAATTCTTTGTCAGTAAAAACACCACTGTCGGTAAGTAAGAAAATTTCGAGTTCTTTGAAAATTTAACGAATAATTGTTATTGGAATATAAAATAAGAAAAAAAATAAATAAGAAACCTTGTGCTAATATTATTATTATTTTCAAAAATTATCTGAATTCACATTAAAAATTCTATAATTTCTTTTTAATACGTGCCATAGTGTCATAATAAAATTTTAATAATTTAAAGAAATAATGAAACTTTGTTGTCATGCAAAAAGTACAATGTGAAGAAAAAAGTTTACACAAAAGGAAATCATCGTATAAAACCGTTAACACTTTTTTGAATGGTCCGACAATCCACCTGTTTTGACTGTTCTGTTCTCAAAAATATCATGTTGCGTTAATAAATCCTTAATTCAATCTTCGAATAAATACAGACTTAATCACACAAAAGTTGTTAAATTATTTAATGAATATTTGCAAAAGGGTTTGTAAGACCAGTTAATCAGAAACCAATGAGTTTGTAATTGTAAACATTAAACTACTAACTTTATATTACAAAAAAATGAAAAATTTGTTTTTGCTGTTAAAATTTGTCTAAAATAAAAAAAATAAGTTTCAATATAGATAACTGATTGGAAATTTTCTGAGGATTGTGAATTTAGGCTCAGATTTTTTATATGTAGCTGCATATGGGCACAAAAAGGCAAAAACGGTAAGGAAACATTGAAAAAGTCGAATTATGTCACTATTTTGCAAAGATATGGCTAAAAACTTAAAACACCCAGATTTTCGGAATAATCACTTTAAACTATAGTTTTTTAACTATGTTTCCTGAAAATTTTAGCCAAATCGAAAAAGGTGTTTTTGAGTTATAAATTTTTTTGAGAAAAACAGTTTTTTTAATCTACTGAGCATGCGTTTAGAAATTTCTCAAAAATTTCAACACCATTGGATTCTTTGGAAAATTTCCCATCGACTAGTAGGGGAGAGTCTCCAGTTGTAAGACAGTCAATTTTTTTTAACATGCAATATTAAAAAGCCGATTGGTTTATATAAAAACATTTCTTTTTATATGAGCCAACTTTTTCGTGTACGCCGAAGCGGATATATAAACTGTTTTTGTTAAATACCAACACTGTGAGTGATAATCGACTAAAAAGCATTTTTTCAATAAATGCAAAGTACTTTTTTTCCAAGTTAATTAATTGGAAAAGGTAAATGTAATGCATTTTCGTTTAGTGTTTTCCTTATATTTTGTGATGCAATATTGCATTGTTCTAATCTACGGTTGAAAATAATTTAATTTTCCTTTTTCAAAATAGCGCCAATTTCTGGGTGTGAGACACAGCATATCACCAGTTGTGAGACGGTGTCAACACTCATCTGGGCAGCATAAAAAATACGACTTTGCAGGCATACTATTTAAATGTTGTTTTGATTTTTTTTCTAGTATTTTTGGGCATGTCAAGTGGAAAAAAACAATTGATTCAGAAGAAATCAATTTTAATGTTCTTGTTGAAGCTATTAAATTGTGTTTATTTGATAGTCATATTTTGGCGAATAAATATTATTATTCAGTATATAATAATATATATTATTAATATATTTAATTATTTCTACTAAACATAACGTTTTATGTCAAACTTATTAAATTTTTGCAATTTTTAATGAGTGTCTCACAACTGGAGACATTTTTTTTTGTTGCACGGAGAGAAGAAAGTAGTCAATCATACTCAACCCTGAGTCATAGTTACTAAACAATATGGTGACATTTTCGTTTAACAAAACAAAAAGTAAACTTCACTAATCGGCTGTTTAGTTATTAAGACTACCAACTTCATTAGTATCGTCTACGATATGAAATGTCATATCTACGATTTTTTTTACAATTTGCCAAAATAAAAATTAACCTCTTTTATTATAGTTAAACAATAATAGTCTTATAATGATTAAATGTTTCTAAATAAATAATTTTGTCAGTGATACTAATTATTTTCCCAAGAATTTGTTATATGTGGGGATTTTACAAAAAGCCATTGAAGGTTATATAAGGTAACAATACCAAACTAATTAAAAAATTATTATTTCTATAATTGTTTAGTATAATAGAGAATATTATAATATCGATATATTAATATTTATATATTTCTTTACAAAATATATTTGTCGCATAATTGAATAAATACCTAAAATTTGTTTTAATTATGATAACAATAACCTAATATTTATTGTAATAACAAGCATAAATAATAAGCATAATAAGTATCACAGCAAATAAAGTTTTGAAAAATAATATTTTATCTCGATTTCGTTTAATTTTGTAATAGGTTGCTATTTAATTAATTTAAATATATTTTTATAGTTCAATTACTAATTTCATTAAAAAACTTGAACAGAATTATTTTTGTTTACTTCACGAAGCAAACATTCATCTTTACTACTATGTTTAGTTCGATCGACAAAAAAAAGATGAACGTTGTTTCGTAACCTTTACTTAATATTTATTTGTCACAACTCAAATTTTCTTACTAAATGCGTAATAGTACAGCCCACTATAACTCTTCTTTCCGTGTGACAAAAGCGATGGGCTCGGAAAATGTATCGTAAAATTTTTTAAGTTCATCGAAACACTATACTTTCTTTTAATAAAAGTTGCGTATTTCTGTTACCTTTCGAACGGTGTATTTTATTTACAATTTCGTTTACCCGTTTACAATTTACGGGTCAAAAATAAAACCCGTCTCACAACTGGAGACTCTCCCCTACTTTTCCAATTTTTTTTAGACCATAATTTACACTTTTTCACGCAAAAATGGATTTTTCAATCTTAGTTTTGAAAAATGTCACTTTTCACGAAATTGACGATTGTGAGCGTTCTTTATGAGATAGGAACTTGAAATTTTGGCTAGTTCACTATAGTTGAAGGTAGAATACGCCTAAAAACTTTGAGACAAATCGGTAACTTCTGACGTACGACTGTGTGATTTACCCGTGGAATCGCCCACAAGTTTTTGTTTATTCTATATAGATGTTGTTTAGATCGAAAGGCATAAATTTATTCTTCACGCACACAAAAGGAAATATTTTCCACGTTCATATGAAAAAAAAATGTCTGCGCAAAATATTTGCGTAGTGAAAGGCTTTGCCTTAACCACGTGTTTGCGCAGGTGCGAAAATATTCTCGTGGATTATATTATACAACCTCATAATTATATAACATTTTAGTTTAACAAGAAAATTGAATTATTTAGTTACATTGAAGTTCTTTAAAAATTTGATGTCATATTCGTAATCAGCGACCTCAAAAACTCCCAAGTAACAAATTTCAACAAAATCCAATTACTTTTTGAATTTTCGTCCGCTATATTAAATCCGTTATTTTTAAATTTGTTGTCAGATTGGTAAACAGCGACCTCAAAAACTCCCGAGTAATAAATTTTAACAAAATCCAATTACTTTTTAAATTTTAGTTCACCATATTGAATCCGACATTTAAAATTTCTAAAATTTGATATCAGATTCAAAATCAGCGACCCAAAAATTTTCCAAGTTGGGTGTTTCAAACATATTTTGTCAAATTTAAAAAAAAATCGTCCGACATATTGGATCCTCCATTTTTAATTTTTGAAATTTGATGTCAGTTTCGTAATCGGCATTATCTAAAACCCCTAGATAGAAAGTGACCTAATTATCCAACCTATATCTAATTGGAACCAATTGTGTATTTAATCCACCATTTTGGAAATTTAAAATCTGACACTAGATTCGTAATTAGTAACCCCAAAAACCACCGAGTAACAAGTTTGTATAAAAATAACAATTAACGAGAACTGACAAAACTAGTTATTTAACTTCAACATCTGTATTCTTGAAACTTTGTTTTCGCACGTAAGCCCCCTTTTCGTAGACCAGGTCACATATGTTAGTTATCGGCAATTAGTTTAAATTAATAAAACATGTTAAAAAATTGAATGCATTCAAAGACGCAATAACAAAAACAATTAAATTCTGTTCACACATGCAGGTTTCTCCATGCGCGGTTAATATGTAGTAAATTTTAATAGAATTTTAGATTTTACAAATAAATGTATTTTGTTTTATCAGCTTACCTATGATTCGCTCAGTACTGGAAGAAGCGACCTAATTTTGGAAAAGGTAAAAATAATCGTATTAAAATTGTATAAAAATTATAACACATTCGCTTGGAGACAGCAACATGCCACTTCAGTTAAATAGGGAAAAAGATGCCAATTCAGAAAAAGAAGTCATTTGACATTTGTCTTTTTCTAACCACCAAACAAATTCATTTTACAGAGTTACAAAAAAATGTTGAAGTAGGGTTTACTTAAAAATTCTTGTGTTTATTCTTTATTGTAACTTTAGGTGTCACTGAATAAAAATATGCTGAAAAAAAATTTTTTCCACAGAAAAAGTAAATGTTATTTTAACACCTTTGGTGTGTTAAAACGACACGCAACACTTTTTCACCAGTGGTGAAAATATCTACAATTACTGATTTTGAAAATTTTGAATCCGCTATTTTGAAATTCTTAAATCTAACTTTTTATTTGCCATAAGCAACTTCAGAATCACCCAAATAACAAATTTCAAGCAAATCTAATTGTAGAAATCGATTTTTTTCTATAATATCCCAATTCCCTATTTTGACTATTTGAGGTAGCAATTTCTTTTAATTAAAATATATTCCCCTTGATTAGTATCAATCATCTTTCAATTCTGGGCCTTAAAGTTGATAATTTAAGCATTCATTTGAAACTTTCAAATATTTTATCATGTTGCGTTTTTATTTTACAGAGCTTTAAAAAGAGCTAAAAATGCGATTTTTTTATAGGTAAGTATAGTCTAGGTTGGACCACTGTCTAGGTAGTCCATTCGCGATTTTTTGGACAAGTTCACTAGCGCCACCTATATGCGCATACTTGGCGAAGCTTGTCTTAGTGACACCTAAATTTTTGTTATATTCAATTTTTGGAGAATTAAATGTAATGTTTTTATAACCTCGGTACAAAAAAAGCTCAAAAAAAGTTTTGTGTATCATGTGAAAAAACCATTAATAAAATATAAAAAAACATGGGATGGAATCCGGAAACAAATCTGTTTTTGGTTAGAACAATTCGATAATGGTGCATTTTGTCAAGGTCAGACCACCATTTAAAATACATGAATTTGGCAGATACTTTTTAATAAATATACAAAAAAACATTTGTACACACACATACTCACACATTTTGCCAAAGATATTAGAAAAATAATATTAAATCCTGTAAATTTTGTTAATTATTTCATTAAGTTATTTTGAACTGTTACGCGTTACTTTTTTGTAACAATAACGTTTTACTTTTTTGTTTTTTGTACTTGTAACTCTTTACAAGTTGTAAACCATAAAGGATACATTTTTCGTAACGCTAAAAATGTTATTTTATTTTTTAACAGTAATGCCCTTTGAATTTCAAACATAAAATGAAAAATCAAGGTCCGACCTTGACTGTAAGGGACAACCTAGACTACAAATTTTTTTTGAAACCTTTATAACTTTTTCATTTTAAAACCAATCAATTTCTGTACTTTGTACAGAAAAAATATTCCTTTTAAACAGAACTTTCCAACAATATACTTCAATTCACCAAATTCATTTTTAAAAAGAAGTTATAAACAAAAGTCAAAAGGTGGTCTGACCTTGACTATACTCTCCTACTTTAATCTCGTTTTTTTAATAAAACTGGCCGTATGAGAAAATTTTTTTGTTGCATATTCTTATTCAGTGACACCTTAAGTTTCAATAAACACAAGAATTTTTAAAGAAACACTGTATCAAGATTTTCTTGCAACCCAGTGTTAGAATAATACAAAAAGCAACATCATATGTTTCTTTAGTTTTTTAAATTGGAATCTTTCTCACTGTTAAACTGAAGTATCATATTGCTGCTTATAAACGACGATAGACAACAATATAGTGCTTATATTATGTATAACTATGTGTTGTGGGTGCAAAATATTGTAATCTTTAATTGCTGCAAGTATTTATCAACTTTAATTTCATTTCACTTAAAAAATTCCTTTAAGAAGTTAATACAAATGTCAGAAAATTAACAAATATACCATTCGTAAGCTTATAAAATTTTTATAATAAGTTATTATATACTTACTAGCTGTCGTACCCGTCTTCGGCGGGTTTTAGTTTCTACTGATATACTTAAATGGTAGTCTACTAACCGGGAATTTAAGTTACCTGGGAAAAACTAATAATTAGTTGCAATTAACTATTTCATAAGGAAAATATTACTATTTGAATCAGTAAACGACTTTTCCTATCAAATACTATTTTTAACTAATTCAAATTCAGAGAACAGTATTTGTATTTCAATTAATGTATTAAAAATAATCCTAAATTTCCACCAATTTTTGAAGTTATGTAGAATCTAATTCAAACTAATTGTATCGCAAATAGTCCCTACGTTATGACTTCTAAAATCTAAAATAACACCTATATTGTAGGCTGAAAGTACACTGAGAAAAAGACCGCCGTTATTGTAGCGGTAAAGTGATGCTAGTATAGCAGGAATTGTACTGCCATTAGGAAACCGCTATTTCAGCAGTTATTTCTGCAGTACATTGCAGTTATAGCATTGCAAAACTGTAGAAGTAGCAGGAAATTCATGCTAAAACTACAATGTTTCACACAGTCGTTTCAACATGACATGGCGTTTCTCAACACTGCCAAATTTGCATGAGTAAACGGCGCCATTTCGACAATTTTTTTCTCTCAGTGTAGGGCTTAAATTTTGACTCGGGTCTATTTACATAAATATTACGTCAATAAAAATTAAAGTAAAATGCAATTTTTTAAAAACTTATTAATATAAAATAGTACATTATGCAACAAAGGCGTATTATTATCACTCTATGCTACCTGTACCGGTGCATGCTAAGTTTCCCCATATTACCCAGCTGGTCAATAAAGTGTCTATTATTGCCCTAAGGTACTAATGAGTACTTTATTGACCGTTGGGTTAAAAGGAGGAACTTAATATGCGCCTGTAAAGGTAGATAAAATGACCATAATACGCCAGAGTTGTATAAACACTTTTTTTAATTGGTAGAAACTTTGTTAAATGTATTAGTAGAAACTAAAACCTGTCTTTCTACATAGGACCCTATATAAAAAACCATATGAATTCATACGTAAAATCCTGCAAATTTTTCGACAACATTTTTCCTGTTACCTAATAAAAAACCTGTATTTCTTTAAGAATATTTTTAATACATGGGGCGTTTCATATGAAAATGAAATATGATGTCTCAGATTTTTCTCATATTATGAGAATTAAGAGTGATTAGGGTCCTAATGAAGTACACCAAGTAACAATAATAAATTATTTTTATTTTTCTAGATATTTGCATTAAAATATTTTTATAAAACTTTTTTATTTTGAAAATAACTTCTTTCGCTTTGAGACACAAAAAATTGTTCTGAACAGTTTTTGTGCTCAAAATACTTAACTTTCAGAAAAAAATTACTGTAAATAATAATAATGAATTTTAGGTTAATTGCTTTAAATAATATAATTTGTTTTTAATATTTAAACCCTTTCTCCCGTGTTACTCAAATCTAAAAAGAATTATGAATAATGTTGATAATATAATGAAACTTTCCTGAAATTTTTAGCTTGGCGTTATTTTTTGTTTGTGAGAAAAAAATTCCTAAATATTACAATGCAAGCACCAGGTGTAAAAAGACGCTAGTATTGGAGTTATTACTGAATAAGGAAAGAAATGTTAATTTGTACATTTAATATATTTTAAATATTTAATAATAATTTAACAAAAAACGGTATGCTACCCCCGAAAGTTCAAGAAGACCAACGAGTATTTTATTTTAAATTTAATACATTTTTTTGATGTTGTTAGCAAAGAAATAAGAATAATAAAATTTAAACATTGTAGTAAAGAACACAAAAAATTAAACATAATTTGGTTGATCAATTCCAATACGGTCCACAGTGGGGCAAAAAACACGCTATTGGACAAATTGATTTTTAGACCACAATTTTTAACCGATTGACAAAATTTTTTTTTAAATTAAAGATAATAAAATTTTGCATAAAACGTACGTTTTGTATTTAAGAAAAAATTTTCCATTAATTGTTTATTAAATGTTAAATAAAAAAATTAGAATTTTTTTTACTTTAAATAAATATTGTTGCTTATCAAAGCCTATTATATTATTAATAATTACCAAAAACATTATAGCCATGTTCTAAAAATGTTTTGAGACATTAACTATTTTGTTTAAACAATTTTTGCTTTTGTTATAAACAAATAAATTAACAAAAGCTTTTTTTAATATTATGTAAATTTAGTGACTAAATTTTGCATAATCTACTATACTTATGATATGCAAGTAAATACCAGTGAAATTTATTGTTATAAACAATTACTTTTTGTTATGTTACAAACAATTTATATTTTTATTTTTTAACACAAAATTAATTATATTTTATCAACAATTATTATTACTAGTTACGTTTTACAGGAAGTATTTTTTACTCTCATTTATGAATGTAACATTGTTTAAACAAAGCTTAATTAACAATTGCACAGTTTCTTTATTTTTAGTTGTTTAAGTCGCGTTTTTTGTATATTTCCTTGTAGGGGAAGTGCGCCGGTTGTGGGCACCCTCCGGTTGTGGGCACCCCTACGTAAACTTCGACGGCAAGCAGATTTTACTGATCTAAGTATTGCAAGTCGTGTTCGTTGACAATACGGACTTTTCGTATTGATAACGAAACAAATATATGCATTTGTGTAATAGCTGTGAGCATAATAAAGAAAATTTGCATTAAATAAATAAAAAAGTAATTTTGTATTGTTTTCGAAGAGCAACATATGGGTGTAGATTCGTTCAGAAAAAAAGGGTTTAATTTTTTTTTTGCAGTGTTGTCATTATATTTTGTGATTTACCTTCGTGTTTAACCAAAATCCTGCATCACAAAATGTGTTGGTCTTTTTAAAAAATGACTGTCATTCCCGGTTGTGGGCACCTTTATGTTAAGGAGGCTCTACCATCTGACAATGATGAGGACTACTGTCTCATCTATCTAAACTTTCTGCCAAGGAAA